ACTTGAAAGGATTAAGAAGAGCAGTACTCAGAACTCACACAGGATCAGGAAGAGGGCCTATTCCCCTCAGCCAGACTGAAAAACCTCATAATTCATGGGGCATTGTGTAGAGCACTCATATGGTCTTTCCTCAGTAGTGAGAAGTAATTAACCTTAGACTAGACATTGCTCTGCATCCACCTAACAAATTTTAAAGGCAAGTCCTAAAGCCTCAAACTATTTCCAAGTATCTTAATTTCATTCTACAACAAAGCTCAAGAATATTTATAGGAATATAAAAATATTCCAGTACCCAAACATAGTAAAATTCACAATTTCTGACATCTAATAAAAAATTACCAGGCATGCAAATAAATTGGAAAATACAACCCATAATAACAGGAGAAATAAACAAATCAAAACTGACACAGAACTGGCAAAGACATTAGAAATAGCAGAAAAGGAAAAGTCCTTGTAACTGTATTCTGTAAGTACAAAAAAGCTAGAGGAAAGATTGAACATGATAAGTAGAGACATGGTTGAAATGAAAAATACACTGGATGTGATTAACAGCAGATTAGTCATTTCAAATGAAAAGATTAATGAACTTGAAGACATAGTAATAAATATTATCCAAAATGAAACACACTAACCAAAAGGGAAATTAAGAAAACACTCCCATTTACATTAAGAACAAAAAGAGCAAAATACTTTGGTATTAACTTAACCAAAGAAGTGAAAGCCTTGTAAACTGAAAACTACACAACGTTGATGAAAGAAACTTAAAAAAGACACAAGTAAATGAAAAGACATTCCATGTTCATAGGTTGGAAGATCTAATATTGTCAAAATGTTTATTCTACCCAAACCAATCTAAAGATTCAATGCAATCCCTGTCAAAATCCCAATGACCTTTTTTTTTTTTTACATTAGTTGAACAAACAATCCTGAAATTCATAATGAACCACAAAAGACCTTATATATAGCTAAGGCAATCTTGAGCAAGAACAAAGCTGGAAGGATCTTACTTCCTGACTTCAAATTATACTACAAAGCGAAAATAGTTAAAACAGTATGGTTTTATAAGCAGACATATAAACCAATGGAACAGAATAGAGAACCCCAAAACAAACTTATACATTTTTAAATTATATAAATTTCAGGTGTACAGCATTATAATTCGACATCTGTATACACTACAAAGTGATCACCACCACAAATCTAGTTACCATGCATCACCATACAGTTGACCCTCTACAATTTTTATGTCAATGATATCACAATAAAGCTGTTAAAAAAGAAAACTGAAGGAAGAATACATCACAAGCAGATCCATACAACAAGAAATGTTTTAAAAAGTCCTTTTCAGATAGTAGAATAATTATACTAATGGAAACATGACTTACAGACCAAAAGAAAAAAAGGCACTGAAAAGCAGTGAAGACATATAAGGGTAAATATATAAGATATTTCTCTTATCATTTAAATTTCTTTTAAAATTTGATTATTTAAGCAAAAATAATTATGAATTATGGGATTTATAACATATCTAGAAGTAAAATACCTGACAGCAAAAGCACAATGGCTGAGAGGAGAGAAATGAAAGTGTAGTATTATAAGTAGTATTACACTATGTGAAGTGGTATAATAGCACTTGAAGGTGGTTGTGATATCCTCAAGATGTATCCTGTAAACCTGGAAGGAACCACTAAAATGACAGTTATAGCTAATCAGCCAACAATGGTGATAAAATGGAATCATTAATAATACTCAATTAATTCAAAAGAAGAGAGGAAAAGAAGAAAAAGAGAACAAAGAGCATTGGGACAAATAGAAAATAAATAGCAAGATAGTAGACTTAATTTTAACCATATTAGCAATTGCTTTAAATAAAAATAGTTTAACTGCTCAAGTTAAAAGACAGAGAATGTCAGATTGGATAAAAGAGCAAGTCCCACCTACGTGCTAGCACACAACATGCACTTTAAATATAAAGATGTCAATAGGTTAAAAGTAAAAGGGTAGAAAAAGATATACCATACTAACACCAGTAAAAAGAAAATTGAAGTAGCTATATTAACGTCAGACATACTAGATTTCTGAGCAAAGAATAATGCCAGGGATAAAGATATAGATTGACATAGAGAGCAATTCATTAAGAGGATATAACAATCCAAAATGTTTGTGCACCTAATAACAGAGCTTCAAAATACGTGAAGCAAAAAATGATAGAGCTGCAAAGAGAAATCAACAAATCCACAATTATAGAGATTTTCACATCCTTTTCTCGATAATTGATAAAACAAATAGACATAAAATCAGCAAAAAGACAGTAGACTTAACACCATCAACCAATTTGACCTGATTGACCACTCAACAACAGCAAAATATATGGCTTTTATAAGTGCACCCAGAACATTTACCAAGATAGACAATATCTTGGCTATAAAACAAGTCTCAATACATTTAAAAGGACTCAAGTCATGCAAAGTATGTTCTTTGACCACTATGGGATTTTATTAGAAATCAATAACAAAAAGATATCTGGAATATCATTGGAACTGGAAAACCTGTAAAATATTTGGGAAGTAAATAATATACTTCTTATTACTCAAAGATCAAAGACATAAAAATGGAAATTACCAAGTATTTTTTAACTGAATGAAAACAAATATTCAACATATCAAAATTTGTGGGATGCCACTAAAGCTGTACTTAGGGGAAAATTTATAGTACTAAATGCTTACATTAGAAGGAAAAAAGGTATCAAATCAATGCTCTCACCTTCCACCTTGAGAAACTAGAAAAAGAAAAGCAAATGAAACCTAAAGTAGGCAGGAGAAAGGGAATATAGATCAGAATGGAAATCAATGAAATAGAAAACAAAACAAAAAGAATTATAGAAAATCGATGAAACCAAACACTGGTTCTTTGAGAAACTCAATAAAAGTGATAAGTGGTGGGCAAGATTGATCAGATGTGACCAATATCAGCAACAAGAAATGTGACATCACTACAGATTCTATAGATTCTAAAGGATAATAAGGGAATATTGTAAACAACTTTATGACAATAAATCTGACAACTTAGATGAAATAGACAAATTCCTTGGAAGACACAAACTACTCTAGTTCACACAAGAAAAAGTAGGTAACCAGAATATTCTGATACCTATTTGAAAGAAATAGAATTTGTAGGTAAAAATCTTCCCGCAAAGAAAATCCAAGCCCAGATGGCTTCACTGGTGAATTCTATAAAACATTTAAGGAAAAAATAATATTACTTCTACACAAACTCTTCTGGAAAAAGAGAATGGAAGGGAATATATTACAACACATTCTATGAGGTGAGCATTACCCTGATATCAAAGCAGATGAAGACATTACAGGACAAGAAAACTACACACCAATATTTTTCACAAACGTAGATGTAAAAGTTTGAAAGAAAATTTTAGCCAATCAAATTTAACAATATATTAAAATGATAAACATTATGACCAAATGAAGTTTATTCCAAGAGTTCAGGGTTGCTTTAACATTAAGAGAAAAAAAACATATGATCATCTCAATAGATGTATAAGAAGCATTTGACAAAATCCAATTCATAATCTTCTGAATCACACTCCTGTTACTCTTTTGTTTGAAACTTTCCCGCTGCTTTCCATTGCCTGTAGTGAAGTCCACACTCCTGTCTGGTATTCAAGACTCATTGTGATCTGGTCCCAACCCTGGCGCCTACAACTATGTTACACCTATTTGTGTGCTGCTTAGTGTAGCCATGCTGTAAAATGCCTTGTACCCAGTCTTAGCTTTTCTGCTTCCTTCACTTGTTTATTCTGCTCCTTTGCTCTTGGCTGGTGCTTCTCAACCCTAGCTGTCCATTCGAGTTACTATAAGATGTTTAAAAAAAATGATACCCAATTCTACCACTAAAAATTCTGACTCAAAGAGTCTGGGGAAGGAACAGGACATTAAAAACTTCCCAGGTGATTCAATTGTGTAGGTAGTGTTGAGAAAAAATGGTCTAGAATATTCTCACATTCTCCAAATTTGCACATCCAAAATTTACTTGTCTTTCTAGAATATTCTAGATGATAACTCTTTCACAAAATCTTCCCAGATCATCCTCAGCTGGAAGAAAGCTCTCCTCTGAATGCCTCAATAATTTATTTGACTCTCTCTTGATCCTTACCTGCAGGTCTTCCCTGATATATCTGAGTGAAAGTTCTTAAAACCATATTCATGTCTTTTTTGAATTTTTACACCAAATGAGTCATCATTTTTAACATGGTAGGTACTGAATGAATAATTTGATGAAGTGTTTTTAGATGGTTTAGAGAACACTTAGGTATTCACCACTGTTAAATGGTAGTAATGGTTGATTTTAGGAAGTCTGACTAAGGCATCTGAGTTGTCTGACCCTCACTCCTGGCTAACAACTTTCTTTAGTCCTCTAACATCCTCTATCAATGTATGTTTATTACTAACAATTCACAATTCAATCTGTTGTTCATGCATCAAGAAGGCAGGGTTAAGTAAATGCATAGATGAGTCAGCTCTTTAATTTTAGTTCTAATATCAACTTTCTTCTTGATCAATTCTTTTTGCCATAAATACTAACAACCATAAAAATAGATCAGTGAGTTAAAAGTGCAACTTTCTCTTTCTGTCTTGAACTCAAAAGCCTAGCTTCTAGAAGAAAAAAAGATACTAAATCCATCTGAATGATTTGCCGATAACAAAAAAAAGGTCTTTGAATAATCGAGTTGATTTTATTTGTAGGGATTATGTAGTGCTGTTTTCTCTGGCATCTTTGAAGAATTAACATTCCTTGTTTGGTTCCCTAGAAAGTTATATTGATTGCTTTTAACTGCTCAGAACATGAAACAGTTATATTTCAATGAATTGCTTAGGATTTTAGATGAAATCATGGGTCTAACAACAGATTGAAATTTTATTTCCTACTGATTTATTGGTCCTACCCCAACAGAATATACTAAATAGTTCAAATAGAATACATACCTGGATCTAGATTGGCCCACTTCTTCAAGAATCATAGAAAAATGCTTCCAAGTTTTCTCAGCGTGGAGTGAGTGTGCGTTAAGTTTCTTTGAATCACCAAACAAAGATAGGAAATAATCCTCTCCTTCTCCAGTCACACCTGGCTCGGGAGCAGTGACTGGTGGAGTATGTTTCTTTGGAATTATGAAGCTGTTGATTCCTTTCAAAGAAACCAAAGAGGGAAGCAACAGAGAGAGAAGTAGATAAAAGGTATTAAAAGAACCCTAAGCCATTATCTTTAGTCTTTGCTTCTGCAAAACTATATTCTTTATACATTTTACTGTCACTGTCAAACTCAATGAAGATAGTTAAAAGCTTAAACCAAAGTCTATAAAATAACCAGTAAGTGATTACTTTTAGTGACACTCAATTCCTAGAGGTTATTTCAGTTATCTTAAACTACCAATTATATCACCAGCCTGATGACTATTTAACTGATTGTTTAGTTGTACTAGAAGCATCATAAGTTTTTGAGTAGGTAAAGCATTTGAGTCTCTCACATTTGGATATGTTATGTATAAATACAACTTTGTTCTGGTTCACATTAGCTATTCTCCTCAAATTTCTACCTAGAAATTAAAGCTTCAAATGAGTCCTTTTCTACCAATGGTTAGTACTTTTGCCAGGTAAAGACTTAAGTTTCCTCTAATCAACTAAAATATTTATTAGAAAGATAAAGTAATGCTTAATCAGATTCTAATATTTTCTTGGAAATTCGTTCTTTTAAAATTCTCATCACTAAGATTCAAATACAAAATGGGTCTCGTGATTTTGCATAGAAAGAATCATGATGGATAAATCTAATGCTGTGTTTGCAAAGAGAGAGTAACACTAAATAGAGGCATCATGATGAAGTGGATAGAGCAGTGCATCTTGGATTGAGGCAGATGTGCAACTGTATCCCCACTCTGCCATTTACTAAGCCAACTGATTTAAACTTTCCAATTCTCAGTTTTCCTGAACATAAGATATAGATAATACTACATTGTGTAAGGTGATACGAGGATTGAAGACAATGTAGGTAAGTGTCCATCACTGCGTCTCATGTTTAGCAGGTACTCAATAAATGATAGCTGTTATTGTAGTACAAGGGGTTTGTTTAATGTGACTCTGGGTCCAAAATCATCAAAGGATTAAGACAATCTAGAATTTTCTTTATATTTTTGTATCTTTAACAAAACCAAAGCGATGTGAAAGGTGGAGAGTAAAAATGCATAGTTCCTAAAGAGGATTCCTTAAAGTGTTTTGTTTAGGAGAAATATTTGGAATTAAATCAGTTCATTCTCAGTCAAGTATTTACTTAATCCTTAAATTTCTTTGGGGAAGGAAAATATATAGTATCCTTTTTAACAGTACATTCTGAGGGATGAAAACCTTTGTATTCTAAAAGGAAAGGAGACGCATTAATTTTAGTCCCAGTACTTATTTCATCTGAAGGAACAGATGGCAATGAACAAAATGCAACAAGTCTCAGTAGACCCAGACATCTATCTACAGAAGCAGAATCCACAGTAACTGAAGAAGACTGCATCCTGGGTCAAGCCTCATCTTGCAAGAGGAAGCCACTACATTTTGGGTTTTCCCCCTAATACGAGGAGCTTTCACAATTTAACTGAAATATGGAACATATGCCATGATGATATAGTGCCAACGGATGACACATTCCCTCGCTAGATGTAAAATTTGTATTTGCACTTTTAAGCATATGGATTTTGGTCGTTGCTAACAGTCAGTGTGAATGTAGGAGGCTTTGAAAAATGTATCATAAGCATACAATGAAGTGTAGGGAATATGAAAATAATGGCAGTAGGTCAAAACCCTACTGTAGCCTACATATAACACTGTGTCAAAGGCTTAGGAAAATACCAGAAGCAAAATGAAATATAGATAAGAAGCAGCCGGACTTTAAATGTCTATACAATGGTAGAGGAAAATGAGGCAATCAAGTAGTCATGTGTGTGCGCTACCAATTTTGAAACTTGTCAGTTGACTGGTAATTGAAATATAGACCCAAATCCAGCCTATTCTATGAGAAGGTCCTTACGGATATGTTCAGATTCACAACGAGTTTGTATTGAGTACTTGCAATGTGCTAGGAGATTTTCATAAATATCTCATTTAATCCTTAGGCTAGCCCTATGAAGCGGAGATTTTAATCCCCATTTTGCAGTTGTGGAAAATAGGACTCAGAGATGCTAAATACCTTACCTAAGGTCTCACATTGTAGGGAGTAGAATGATAGTTTGGAGCTAGGTCCTTTGTTTCCAAGGACAGTGGTCTTTTTAGTAAACCGTGATCACATACCCTCAAAGTTCCCTCAAATGGTGAGGAACAAACCCACTGCAGCATGGGTGTTGCTGAATGCATTGTTGGCTACCGCCAAAATGTTACTTCTCCCTACCCTGGTACGGTTTTCATTTTCCTCTCCACCAAATTATTGTTTCTCCCTTTTCTCTCCACCATTTTATTACCTACTTTATTTTTCTTCATTTCTTATCCATCTGTCTCTTCCTTACTTAAGCCCTAAGTCTCCTAAAGGCATAAAATACACAAGACATGGCTTAATCTTTCTGCTAGTGTTCAGAGGAAGCGCAGTTAAGACTACACAGAATTTTAACTATCTAGTAATTCTAGAGCATCTAAGCAGTCAGCCCATGAACCATTATTGTAACTCAGGATATTTTAATCATGATGATGATATATTTGGTGACATACATTTATGTGACCTGAATGACTCCAGTGCTAAGATCAATGGTGAGCATAGTCAAGTTACTCTGCATATGACATTAAGAAATTAGTATTATTGGAGACAAATAATAAAACATCATTCTGGCTTCTAGGCACGTAAAGAATCTATTGAACTATATGCTTTAGAAATAGTCTAAAAAATTTGGTACATGTTTTGCTTACCCAAGCTGTTTTCTGATCGGGAATGGCTCACTATAATAGATTTAGACTTTCTTCCAATTGTTGATACAGTTGCTCCACTAATCTGAGGCGTAGACAGAAAGCAACTGAGAGGTGTTTCATTAGATAATGACCGTGACCATGACAGTGTTGTAGTATCTGAATCCATCATCTTTGGAAAAAAGTGTACTGAAGAGCGCTGTGTCTTTGGGAGATTGTCATGTGTATCTTCTCTTCTGTGTACAAAAAATTAATATAATACACTAAGTAAGAAAGTCAAAATGAGTATACTATGAACACAAGAAGCATAAATTATCATTATTACCAAGAGTGCTGCTTTTCAAAGGTATTATGCATCTAATATAAGCACAAGAACATCTTATATGTTTAATTTTAACAGTAGAAATAGAGCACTTTAGTGTCAAGTCAAGACATGCTTGTCTTTTCTTTTTTTGGTGAGCAAGATTGGCCCTGAGCTATCATCTGTTGCCAATCTTCCTCTTTTTCCTTGAGGAAGATTGTTGTTGAGCTAAAATCTGTGCCAGTATTCCTTTATTTTGTATGTGGGATGATGCCACAGCATGGCTTGATGAGTGGTGTGTAGGACCATGCCGGGGATCTGAACCTGCAAACCCCGGGCTGCTGAAGCCAAGCACGTGAACTTAACCACTATGGCACTGAGCTGTCCTCCATGCTTTTCATTTTTTCTACTTAAAAATCAATAAATCCCTACTGTCGATAATTTTGGAAAAGTATAAAAGTAGGAAGAAGAAAATGAAAATCACCAAAAGGCCACCAAACAAAAATTTTACCATTTCCTCCAAAGCTTTTTAATGCATTTTTATTCAAAATTGAGACTCTATAAACTATTTATGTTCCACTTTTATTACATATTACGTCATATTTCCCCTTTCCGTTAACATGATTATAATGCCTGTTTAATATATCATTGTTTACCACACCTTTTTTCTTTAATTCCTGCTGCTGCTTAACTAATTTTCCTGTATTTATAAAGATTCTAGAGTTAATTTCGGCTTTCAAATACACTCTTCAAATAACTATAAATATAATACACATGTGTACGTGTGTGTGTACTTGTGTATGTATGCATGAACGTTGAAGGGAATAGCAGAAAAGAGGGAGAAGAAAGACAATTTCCAGTTATTTTAAGTAAATCTCACTACGAACAAAGATTTTCTTTTCTTTGTTTTTTATAAATATGAAAGCATTTGTTAACTAGTGCGCAACCATTTAAACAAAGTCCCTAAACCACCACACACTTATTTTACAAGTAAACCAACATTCTCATGGCGTGGCTCATGCAAAGGCTTATGACAACTCCATTTTGTGAGTCACACTGAGGCTCTTCTGAGGAACCTCAAAGCAATCATGGGTGTGTGTGTGTGTGTGTGATGTGTGTATGTTTATTGCTTGAATTATGAACAAAGTCCAGGAGTCTGAAACCCTTTGGTTTTCTGAAAAACTGGATAAATGGCCAGCTCAAGCACCCCCTTTCCAGGGTCACGTGTCTATCCACTGTAAAGCAGGAGTTAAGTGTTTTGCCTCCGTGGATGGTCTCTATTTTGACCTCTTTTTTTCCCCAGAGTTCCTATGAAGTTGTTTTAGCTAGGCTTCTGTTTTTTGGTTTTTGTTTTTTTCCAAATGCTTCCATCAGGGAACACTGGCCTGGAGCTTCCCATCTGCCATCTGGCTATGTCAGTCTCAATCTCTTTGTTTATCAAGAGGTATTCACAATCATTTTGTCCTACAATTTGTAAGTTCCTTCATCAGATAGATTGTATCTGGAGAGCTTTGTCCTCAAAATCAGACTTCTTTAAATGTACTTCTCAGAAGGCACAGACATCTCAGGCAATTTTTTAAAAAAATATAATTAAATGTCATTGTTTTTGAAAATTGCGTTATGACTAACCAAGTAATTATTAAGCTTGAGCACTTGCCATTCTTCTGATACCCCAGTACTCATCTTTGTCTGGAAAGCTCTAACCCGTGAAGATACACTCTTGAGTATGACTGTGGTGGTAATGGGAAGGGGACTATAAAGGTCGATTGTCAATTTACAAATATTTAATGTCTGTCCAACCCAAGACAGGATCATATGACGTGACTTCTCCCTGACACTGGCTAGAATAAGCAGGAAAAGTACTTTTCTCTTTTAAAGTTCCTCACATCTGGGTTTCATTACCAACTGGCTATATCTTTTCAGCATGTTCATTTTATAAGCTCCAATTTTTTTTCTTCCTCCGGTAAAACAATAGCGTTTCCAAATAAATTTGATTCCACAAAAGATTCCCAATAAGCCTTCACAAATGTTGTGATCAAAGAAATCTGGCCTAGGGCCATCGGGTGTTCTCTTTTTATAGTTGAACAAGAAATTTCTAATGGCTGCACCCCCCTTTGGAAGAGCTGAAACTGCAGGGAGATGTGTGTGACACAGAACATTGTCTGAACCCTGCACTCACTGACCTGTTTGACTCCTTTTGGAAGATGATGGAATTTTCCTAGCGCTTAGTTAGCTTTCCATTTAGCATATGGAATTTTCCAAGTCCCTTCTTGGTGTTTTGCTTCCTTTGTAATTAATTAGCACTAAACCAGGGGCAGTTATAAAAACTCAATTTCAGTATTACTTCGAGAGATGCTGCATTGGTAATACTGACAACACTCATTTCTCAGATGACTTCTAAGGGCAAATATTTAAAAAATGGGCTTGAACTGAACAGTAAACACAGGTCATCTAGATCCAAAGTAACATTAGCTTTAAATTATGTATACTCGATACTAGAGGTCACTTTTTAGGAAATATTGGAAAACCAATGCTGATGCTTTAGTTGATAGAATGATTTACATTAGTAGTAAAAATAGGGAGCTGTAGTTTTTATTCAACATCTTCACAGACGTTTCCAAAACTCGAGTTCTCTAGCAATTTTTTGTCCCCACGTTAGTAAAGTGCTTCTAATGAAATTATCTGCAAATTGCCTTGACATGTAAGATACGAGCTTTGGCATCTCAACCAGATCTGATCTGCTGGAGATCTGTCTAGGTGAATTTTTATGTTACTCAAGGACTGGAACCTTATAAAACAGCGGCTGGGGAAATAGTTGTATGTTATAGTTCACTAATTTTAGAAAATTGTGAGATGGATTCTAGTTCTAACACTTCAGAAGACATTTTGAAACAAGAGGTAAAGTACTCCATCGTTATCCTCTCCTCTCATTTGTGTCATTCTTACTGTGCTTGATTGTCCATTTTGTCTTCCTGCTCATGGCCTTCACTCTGCAGGGCCGCTGAAGTTTCCTGAATGGTGTTCAGGTCTTTCATCTTGGCTGGAAGAGGAGTCTCTTTTCTTTCCTGGGAAAACAAATCATGACATTAGGCAATGAATATAGCTGAGGTTCAAGGCAGATGTTCTTTTTCAAGTGACCTCACCTGTTAATCTACCTTAAAGCATCGGCCAGATTCAATGATTTCTTTACCAAGCTGGTGCCAGAACCAGGATTCTAATGTGAATGTGTAAGTACCGACATAGCCAATACTGATATAGCTGAGGATATTAGGCAAATCAAGGTGAAGGTGTGTAGCATCCACTGGAAGCAGCTCAAGAGGCAGGGTGGTAACCCAGCAAAGGTACCTTTATGACTACGACTTTCACATCTGGCCAACACTGCCGGTTAGAACACTATGAGGTAATGTCTCCATAGTTACGAAGTTCCAGTCTCTGAACAATTACTTTGTTGATGCTGCACCTGCTTTGCAGTTTGCAGACATTAAATAATGTAACTCGCTTTTGGGAGACCCATATATCCCAACAGACAAACTTTGCCACCGAAATGTTTGATATACTATTTTGGATTTCTGAAGGTCAAGGCTGGTATGTCAATGTTGGGGGAATTAATCACTGTTTTGAATTGTTTATTTAAAAGTTGTTTTTTCTTTGTGTTTTGTTTTGACAAATCCTCTTTGAACACATGGAAACAGTCAGGCCACGGAACAGAAAACTTGTATACTTTTAAGGCAAAAAGAAATCTATTGGTAGAAATAGGGAAATCAAAACCAGGAGACCTAAATTCTTCTTCTAGTTATGCCAGCAGCATGATTCAGAAGAAACTTAATGCAGACTCTACTCTGAGTAAAAAGACCCACTCTTAATGTTTCATGATAATGATGGTATGAGAATAAAATTAACATGTATGAAGTACATAATTGTATACAGTAATAAGATATATTAATGATGATAACTACTGGATGAGTAAGTTCATGCAATAGATATTTAAATGAGCATCTACTATGTACTAGGAACAGGCTAGGTCCTATTAATAAACAATTCTTACTTTAAGGAATAATGATAAAATATCTTCCAATTTAGATTCAATACTGGCTTCATCTTCGAACGATGAACAGTATTTAAATAAAAAGGACCATGAACAAATAACTGTTTTAATACATCAAAAGAAAAAGATAAGAAGTACATCACACAGTAAGGCAATTAAGCTAGAAGGGGGTAAACATTTGACTGTTTTCTCCATCTCAGAGATGAAGCGCAAATCTTTATCAGTGTTATGGGCCAATTATGTAAATATAGCATCAAGAGATTTATAAATATATACTTAGAAAAGAATTAAAAATGGATTTATTATTTCTTACCACGATCCCAGTTTCCCTAACTCTACCTCTCCAGATGGTTTCCTAGTTGTTAAAAATTTCTCTACTTGAACTACAAATATTAGTATGAGGTCGTTATGACCTCATTTGTTTTATCAGAGAGGCTATTCACATTTTTCAACATAATTTGGAGAAACGAAATTCTGTCAACCGAGAAAAACTTTGGAAAATTTTAAATTTGTGAATGTTTCAATAGTCATTCCCTACACAGGATATTTTCCTTATTTCCCCTTCCCCAAATTATGGCATGTAGGCAACTGAAACCAGTTTCTCTTTTGCTGCTGCTCAAATAAAGCCACTGGTTTTCAACAGGGGACAAAGTGAACCATAGGGGGCATTTTGTAAATATGAGGGGACATTAATATTAATCATAAAGATTTGGTGGGGTGCTGCTGGCATTTAGTAGATAAGAGCCAGAGATACTATGCTTTCTGCAATGTGGCACGTAATCCTACTTAGCAAAGAATTTTACCATGTGCTGCATGACTTGCCAAACATTCGTGCAGATAAAAAATAATTTATAATTATCTGAGCCCACAGCCTAACTCCATATTACATAAAAAATGCAAAATATCTTTGTACACTTTTAACATATACCAAATTTTCCGGAGGTAGCTATTTATTGTTTACACTGAGGGAGGATTGTATATTGGTTTGTTCAGACCTTTTCCAAGAGTTATCCATCAGTTTAGAAAAATTACATCATCAATGTCAATACCACTTGGTAGTATTCATGTGAACATGGGTAATAACAGTAGCACCACCACCAACAACAATAACAAAATCAACCTGAATCTGATGAATCCTGTAACTTACATGAAACACAGTCATTCACTGCACAATGATGTTTTGGGCAACAACAGACCACGTATGTGATGGTGGTCCCATAAGATTACTACCATACGGCCTAGGTATGTAGTAGGCTATACTGTCTGGGTTTGTGTAAGTACTCTATGATGTTTGCACAATGAAATCACCTAAAGGCGTATTTCTCAGAATGACACGTGACAGTACAGAGAACAGAAAAGCACATTAGCTAATAGATTAAGAGATTTAAAAGAAATGCTTTGTAATTTGTGGATATATCTTATATCCTAATTCAAATAAACTGTTAAAATATGTATGAGGCATTGGAATTTTAAGCACCCTGGATATTTAATGATATTAAGGAATAACTGTTAAATATTTTAGGTATGATTTGGCATTATGATTGTATTTTTTAAAAAGAAACCTTATCATTTAGGGATATATACTGAAATATTTATAGATAAAATTATATGATTCTATATTTGCTTCAAAATAATACAGAGGATAGGGAGTGGATGGAGATAGAGATGAAAAAGATGGGCCTTGACTTGTCATTGTTGAAGCTGGATAATGGGCACATGGAGATTCATTATACGTTATATCTAATTTTTCTGTAAATATTTGAAATTCTTCATAGTAAAAAGGCTAAGAACGGGAGAATGATTTGGGGATGCACAGACTTCCAACACTGATAGCATCATCATCGTGGCTGTCTCTAGCTCAGGAAGGATAGGGTCAAGCCAGAACTGAAAGGGAAAAGCAGAAACAGTGCTCGTGAGGCACAATACTTTTTACACAGGTTCTTTCACCACAGCTCTGGCAGATGGAAATTTCCCCATTTTCCCAAATGAAGAAGTGGAAGTTCAGAGGGATGAATTATGTCTTCCAAGGTCATACAGCCAGTAGATGGCAGAGCCAGGATCTGGTCCCACATCTGTTTGTTACAAAAAGCCCTTTCCCTGTACTACTCTCTGTTTCTCTGCGGGAATTCCTGTCCAAAATCTTCCTAACTCCTTTCAGGGTGACTGCCCAACCACTCGTCCACTCTTGGACCAGTTTTGTCCCGATCTTTCTCTCAAACTACTCTCTCTTCCAGCTTCCTGACCCTGTGTCAATTGTCTCTTTGGCCTTACTCTCTGTTGAGAAAACACCAGAATTTTGCACGAGAAATTCAAGTCCCATTAGAGTAGATATAGAGTAAAATAGGATGATGAAAAATGAGTTTTATATAGTGAGCTTTTACCTGAAGAAAAAATTAAAAATAGCAAAATACCATACTCAGCAATTTTGGAAAAACGTTACATGTACATAATTTTTAAAAAGCTGAAAAAGACAAAGAACTGCCTTTATGCATTCTAGTCATCTGTCTCCACATATGGAGAACATTTGCACAGTAGGGGATTTTATTAAATCAGTAATATAAATAAAATGTCTTGTGTGAATGAATGAAGACTGTATGTATAAAGAGAATTTTCCTCCCTTCTCAGCTGTGGGTGGGAATTTCCATATTGAGTAGTATGTAGTTGAAGATTATAATTTAAAACATGACATCTTCCACTATCTAAGAGTCAATGAGTTTGTATATATAGTAATATAGTTTCATATTTGTACCCACATAAAGATAGTCTAAATTCCTATTGTAAAGCATCTTGCTAGTCTAAAAATGTACTGAGTTGATTCATTTCCTTCACACAGATTCACATGTAAATAACACAGCCTCAAACATAGATGCTGTTATTTCACCTTGAAGGCAAGGTCACGTTAAGGTCTTACCGGAGTTGTTCAGAGAGGATAAAGGGACATTTATGGGGAGGTTCAACTTTCAGTAGTTTGCCCAAATAACCTTCCTGGGTTTTCCCAATCATCAAATTCTATTACAAAACAGCACTAAGATCTTAGATCTGCATGTGTAATACCAAGTGTCCAACAACGGTTTGAATCCTCAGGCATTCATATCCATTTCAGCAATGGTTCATACATAACTGCTTGGTTACTTCACACATAGGGTGCACGTATTTGAGGCTTAGCCTGTATCCATGAATCTTTTCTATACATGTTCTTTAGAGGAATATAATACTTATTAATCTAAGACAGGAAATCGACTTGTTCAGAGGGCAGAGATCTAGAACGTATGATCTTATTTGCAGAACATCATGTTTTTTGTAAAATGTTTTCAAAAATACAAATCAATATATTTTTTATTTCATCTATATACTATTTTTATATAGTTTTACAAGCAAAAAGAAATCCACTCTAAATTATGTGTGTACCATATAAAATCACAACCATCAGCTCACATGTCTTAAAACAAAATAAAACACCTAACAAACTGTTGAACTAAGCAAATGATTGGTTTTGAGTTTTCCTATTGATATGAATTTGCAATTTTGTTTTCATCAGTCACCTACAGGCAACCTCTAGCAGAAAAGTGGTGTCTGGAGCCGAAGACTTCTAAAAAATTATTGGAAAACAATTTGAATTGAAAAAATGTTCTCCATTAACTTTTCTTTTCTCTGCAAACAGGGTAAAGGCAGTCGTGCAACATTACAGTGGAATGTTCCCTCTCTGCAGCTCATTGAACACTGATGCTCCATAGGAACACTGTATGAGAAGCACTGGATTAAAGGAGGAAGAAAGAGAGTTACTAGAATCCTGAATACGAGCCCTTCCAATGGCTTCAGCCACAGACATAAGACCGTATGGAGCCCAGCCAAGCTCAGTGTGGAAGCACACCCAGGCAAGGAGGGGCCTCAGCCCTGCCTTCTCTTCCTCGCTGGTTACCACACACATAATAAATATGACCAGTGGTAGCTACTGTTAGCATTACTCGTTACTGATGATGGCAATAGGTGGCGGTGAGAGATACAGTTCACTAAGGATGG